GGACCAGACCTGGAAACTTTGGGTGCCGTCCGAGCTGCGACAGGGTTTAATGGAGGCCTCTCACAGCTCACCTTCCGCTGGCCATGGTGGGATCCACAAGACGATTGCACGAATCCGCGAAAAGTATTACTGGCCAGGGATGGTTTCAGACATTCAGGCATGTGTTAAAAGCTGCGAAATATGTAAAAGTAATAAGACCCAAAACGCATTTCATAAACCAGCGATGGGAAATCAACACATAACCGAACGACCTTTCCAACGCTTGTATGTCGACTTTATGGGCCCCTACCCTCGTACTTGTGATGGCAATGTTTATGTTTTTGTTTGTCTTGACCATTTTTCTAAGTTTTTGTTTTTGAAGCCTATGAAAAAAGCCACTTCAGCCGAGGTTATAAAGTTTTTGGAAAAGGAAGTATTTCATATCTTTGGCCTTCCTGAATACGTACATTCAGATAACGGCAAGCAGTTCGTCTCTGATTTATTTTCTAGCTTTCTAGAAAAATACGGCACGAGACACATTAAGACTGCATTCTATTCGCCGCAAGGTAATGCCGCAGAACGGGTTAATAGATCGGTATTGCAGATGGTTCGCTCGTACATAAAGAACAATCAAAGGAATTGGGATAGGCATATAACTGATGCGGCATTTGCACTTCGTAGTGTAGTCCACTCCGCAATCAACTGCTCCCCATACTTTGCTACGTTCGGTATGCCAATGGTGCAACATGGTGCATCGTATGAGATATACCGGAAGCTCGGCACTATAGGGGATGCGGATTGCCAGGTAGAGGCGAAGGCAGACCGATTACAGCTCATACGCGAAAAGTTAATGAAAGAACTGAAGTTGGCTCACGAAAAAAGCATGAAAGTATACAACACAAGAAGTAGAGATGTTAGATTTAAAATTGGACAGGTGGTATACCGCCGAAATTTCCGACAGAGTTCCCAAATCGATAATTATAATGCTAAACTTGCGCCCAAACAAGTTAGATGCATCGTTTTGAAGTCTATTGGAAATTCCATGTATGAACTGGGCGACACTAGTGGGAAGAAAGTAGGGGTATACCATGCCAAAGACATATTTGTGGCGTAGTGTTTGTGTGGTCACTGTGTCCTGTTTGATATTAATTCGTTGCTTCATTTATTTTTTAAGTGTCGTCATGGTGTTAACTTATTTTTATTTTTGGACTTAGATATTTATCAACTTTGACGTACAATCTAGCTTACTACACAAGGTGTAAGCTAGATTGGGAATTATATGCATTTGACTTACATACATATACTTCTCTATTATTGACGTATTGTAATTATTTATATATTTATTTATTAAATTATACATTTATTTATTTATTTATATAATTATTTATTTATTTATTAAATCATACATTTATGTATTTATATAATTATTTATTTATTTATCTATTTAGGACTACAGGTGTATGGGGTATTTACCTACTGTGATATAGTATAAGGCTAACTGTGATATAGATATAAGATTTTATTGTGATATAGTGATAAGTTATGTACCCAGTAGGGCTGTGCGATTAATTGATTACTCAAAATTTTAATTAATCATAAAGTAAATAACTCAGTTATACGATTAATTAGAAATTACGATTACTCAAGAGTTCAGTTACTCGAGTAATCAAGATTTTGGATTAACCAAAAAAATAAATATTTGAGTAATTTGCTTTATGATTAATCAACATTTCGAGTAAAATGAGTAATCAACATTTCAACTCTTTACATATGTATGAAATAGTTAAAGTTCCTTGATACTGTGAAAATAACGTTTCTGTTTTCAAAAATTAAAACGAAATTTTTTTTTCATATACAGAATGTAAAAAATAAAATAAGCATTTTCCAAAGCAAACTCTTTTAACGAGCAAAATTATTATTTTTGAGTAATCATATTTCAAGTAACTCGATTAATCATCGTTTTGAGTAATCAAAATCTTGATTACTCGAATAGTTGATTCACCGAATAATTGATTAACCAACTTGCTCGATTAATCGAATAATCGCACAGCCCTAGTACCCAGTGATATAGAGCTTTACGTAGACGTATATATTAATAATCATAGATGCATGTGAATGTTGACTGAACGATGACAACATAAGCAAAGATACACACACAGACATGAAAAGACTTGACAGGAAGCCCGGCTTTAGGTCGTGGGTCGAGGCCACACGTAGGCAAAAACACACTAAAAGCGCAAACAGTCAACGACGTAGCGTAGACGTAGGTTGACGCAGACACGATCTATCTTATGGGATTCGCGTGCTAACGAAAACTCACCACCGCATGGCGGTGACGTTGCCTTTGCTTCTCCCTCTCTCTATCAACAGTAAATTTGATATGCTGCTACGTACGTCAACCTACGTTTACGCTACGTCGTTGACTAACTGAGCTTTAAGTGAGCAGACTGCGTTTTGAATCCTTTTACGCGCACGCTCCATATTGCGGGCAACATCGGCGGTCGCGAGCCTGTAATGCAGCCTCTCACGTTTCATCAACATCGGTGGCAAATCTATCACGCCAACGTTTCGTTTGTTCCGCAACCGGGTTGCTAAACATGTTGCGCAACATGTGTGAAAAGGCGAACTCATTGTTGTGGTTGTGTGTGTGAATGTACATGTAACAATGTGTCGTAAAGAAATGTATGGCTGTCTTTGTAAGGATGAGTGAAAGTTGGAGGAAATTTCTGCATGCAAATGCATCGGGGCACGATCGCCAAAGTAGCTGTAACAAAAAATCAGATTGAAAGCCGACATTAAAGCATCCGGGTGTGTCTAAGAGAAGTGCTAGCGAAGTTGTCTATTTTAAAAGTTTTTTTTTATTCCCGCTTAAACGGATTCATCTAACCAGAATCCGCTTCGAATCCTGCTATTTGAGGTGAGTGGTTGCAAAGAGTTAACCGAATGCCTTGGTACAGCTAAACTTTTGGTTAATACGTAACTTAAAGAAAAGTGATGCGAAAAAAAAAAAAAAAAAAAAATAATAATAATTTGATCAAAATGAAAGTTAACAGAAGTGCTGAAAAATAAATTAAAATTAAATTAAATTAAATTAACTCAAATAAAATTTAAATTAAATAAGATTTAATAAAATAAAAGTAAATTAAATTAAACGAAATTAAAATCAAATTAGCTTAAAACGGAAGTAAATTAAAATAAGCAAAATTAAATACTTTTAAATTAAATTAAATTTAGTCAATAATAATCAAATAAAGTACTAATAATAATTATAAAGTTTCGATTACTAAACTAAAGAAATATAATAAAAGCCAAATGAAACCAATTAAAAGTCGGTGCTTGCGTGGGCATATGTATGTATGTGCCTGTGTATGCCTGAGCACATACATATTCACTTACAAACATAAACGTACTTGACCACAATAATATGCACGCGCAAGTATAACTTCAACCGTACAACAACCAAAAGTTAGCAACGACAACAAAAACAAAAAAGCAGATCGTATAAAGGGAACCAATTTTGCAGGTTGTCATCAGGCAGGAGGACCCAAGGGGCCCAGAACCTATAATTGCCGACTTAGGTCATTTTACGGCCAAGCAGTACAATTGCGATAAAGACACAGCTGATCACCTTTGCAGAAGTTAACGACCGCAAGTATATAGAGGAGGATTAAAAGTTAGGTTCCACACCGTGGAAACAGAAAGAAGGAGAGGGAGAACAACATACATACATATATACATACGCACATACATCCGCTGATAGAGTACCGGACTTCGCACGGGAAACGCTTGAGCCAGCACTTCCACGCGCTCATGTCACGGCTCTCTGCGGATCGAGCAGATTCCAGAAAACGGAGTGACTCACCACGCCGACCACCACCATCCTCCGAGTATTTGCCTTGTTGTTGTTTTTTTTTTTGGACTAAGTTGGGAATAGTTTTGCTGGCCCGAACGTAACCTAACTTTTGGTTAGCTTACATACATATGAATGTAATTTCCTTTTTTTTCACTAATTTCTCGCCACAGGAATTTTTACTTACTCACTAATTTATCCACAAGCTGCATGCTCTAATTTGAAGTCAAAATAGTCGCGTTAGTTCCCAGAATTAAAAATTAGTTGGTGCATATGAGCACCATTTTCCGAGACGAGTAGTTTTTGTTGGTAATTTTCTTTGCGCACAATTACACAATTACATAGTTATACATATATAGTTTCTTTATCGAGCTTTTATATGCATTTTGTTTTATTAGTAATTAGTTAGGCCGATCATACTTGAAGATAGACATGTATATTAAGTTTTTTTGTCTGTAATTTAAAAATAGTCTGGTAGGCAGCCAGAAACGTGGCGATCATCACGGGCGAGTATTAATGTCTAATTGACCATTCCTAGTCCATGCGTAGTGAACCCCAAAAATATTCCCACTCAATTACTCTCGCTAGGTATTGGAAGTCTTTTGCCTTTTATTCTCTTTCAGCTGAACCATATCTCCTGTATGCAGGCGCCTACATCACACGTGAGATTGGTAAGTGCTAGAACGTAAGCTTATGTACAAAGTTACAAATAGAAATATACATACACATGAACATACCTAGTCACTTATATACATTCACTAATTGTATTCATACAAGAATACAAGTTGTAGAGAAGATAAGAGCAGGAGATTTTTGGGGATTATATACAGCGACGGGCGAAACACTAGAAACTCGCTAAACTAAATTGAGTATTTTTGAGATGGGACATATGTCGCACCACACTTATTTTCATCTTGTGTTACCATTTTAATTTATTGTTATCATTATTTTTTTTTTTGCTTCGTTTTTTTTTATTATCACATTTGAGGATTACACCCTAAACACATATGTACACATATAGTATATGAATTAGGTTATTCGGAGTTTTTTTGTTGAAGTTGAATTTTTTTATTATTATCAGTATAATGAGTTACATGAAGGAATTGAATTTTGTTAATTGTTGAATTGGAATATACGTATGTACATAGGAGAGTGAACCTTTAAATATAGTAATAAGTTTAGTTGGTATAGATTTTTTACTATAGATATTGAACTAAAATTTAGTGGAAATATGAACTGTATCAGGACTTGGATTTGTAGTTAGGTAATAGATTTGTAAGTTTTGTAAAAAAGAGCATGTAAATCCGTGATAGAAAAAAAAATAATATGAATTGCTAATTTTGTAGTTGTTTGGTGTGGGTGTTGCACTGGTGCAACAAGAGGGGAAATGGGTGGCGCGACGCAATGTCTGGGATGACAGGGACATGACTGGACACTAGACAGACGGAAACCGGTGAGGCTTAGGGGACTCTGCCAATCGTTGGAGTTTAGTATTCTGACTACAACCAGGCATGATTACTATTGTTTGTTAGTGTCAGCTGCAGGTAAGATGGTTGGAGATGACCCCCCCGCCGACGAGCTGAGCCTGGGCTAGCGAGCATGCCTGTATGCCAACCAACCTTACCCCAACAGTCAGCGACATAACAAAGGATAGAGATTGTGTGAAGTCGGGTCACCTCAAAGGTGGAGATGTGTTAATCGCGCTAAAGCGTTGCTTACGTTCTTCAGCCTATCAACTTTTTCATCGTGATTCTTTTATCGATCAGCTATGCGTAAGCGTTTATGGCTCCTTTGCCACTACATATATTTGCGTAATATATATACCACCCAGTAGCTCTGATAGCTTATATAATTCTCATAGTGAAAATATAGTTGATCTCTGCGATACTAATATGGATTCCCACTTTTGTATTATTGGTGATTTTAACCTGCCTGATATTATCTAGATAGATTTACAGAATAATAGTATTTTGACACCTGCTAACGTCATCTAACGATCTAACGAAATTAATTTTATTGATAGTCTCTTAAGCTGTTACGTTATTCAAATTAATTATTTATATAATACGCTATCTAAGATGCTCGATCCAGTATTTGTAGACGAAAATTTAATATTTAACCTTTCTGAGACTAATCTACCTCTGTAAAAGACAGACAAACATTACGTTCCGCTTGTTATTTCTTTAAAATTTTCTGATGTAATCTCTATTCCGAGCAATTCGTGCACTTCCGCTTTTAATTTTCGGATTACCAACTTCTGTGAGTTAAATAATACACTTAGCGATATTAACTGGGCTAATATTCTTTCATCAAATGATGTGAGCTTATGTTTTGATACTTTCTTGTTCAAGTTGACAGAGGTATTTTCCATTAAAGTACCTCCTCTTCCTCCTAGACTTCATAAATTATTGGTATAACACTACTCTAAAAAATTTGAAGAATAATAATAAATAAGTAATAAATATCATAAACTGTATAAGGCCAACACTGTGAATGCTGTTCTCAGGGATCAGTATATGAATTATGTGAATCAATTTAATGTGCTGGATAAGTTTCTTTATAATCGTTATATTAGTAAACTGGATCTGAGCTAAAAGTAAATCCTAAGGGTTTTTGGAATTTTATTCGCTCTAAGCGTGGGTCTTCCAACATACCGACTTGTATGTGCCTTAATGGTAAATTCTCTCAATCTTTGCCTGACACAGTTGAATTCTTTGCTGAGTTCTTCAAATCAAACTTTGATAGTGAGGCTGATAACCCGAATAACTCTCACGCTCGCTCGAAATTATCAGAACACATTGACTTTGGTTCCCTCACAATCACAGATTGGGATGTTAGCACTTCTATGTCCATGCTTAAACCTTCGCTAAAATGCCACAGTGATTGGCTCTGTGCCTATGTTATGTCGCATTGCAGTTCATCTTTATGTGTTCCTTTATGTCATATATTTAATTTGTCTCTGTCTTCTGGCACATTTATTGATAGATGGAAGATTACATCAATTACTCCAGTATTCAAATCGGGCAATAAAAATGACATCGCTAATTATAGGCCTATTGCTAAACTCACAGTTTGTTCTTAGCTATTCGAAAAAATTATAAAGGAGAAATTATCTTTCGTTACCAAGAGCATTGTTGAGCCGCACCAACACGGGTTTGTTGTCGGGCGTTCTACTGTTACTAACTTGGCATCTTTCTCGAAGGCCTTTGATAAAGTGCCTCACGCAATCTTAATACATAAACTTGAGTCTATCGGCTTTCATTCTGCCTTCCTACAATGGTTAAAATCTTATCTGTCTAATAGGACCTTGTTTGTTGAAGTCGAAAACTGTAAATCGCACTATTTTGTGGCAACTTCAGGTGTTCCCCAAGGCAGTACCTCGGACCACTTTTGTTCGTCCTTTTTATAAATGACATCGGCTCCTGTTTCAAATTTTCCAGGTTTTTACTTATGCAGATTACCTCAAGCTCTTTCGTAGAGTTATGACTCGTCGGATGTTTCTTCTCTGCAGTACGACCTGAGTACCCTGGTCAGTTGGTGTCATACGAACAAGCTTCACTTAAATGTAAATAAATGTTTTCATATGTCCTTCTCAAAATCTTCAAACATTATTTTTTCTAATTACAATATTTCTAGCACTCGCTTGGCCTCTGTGAAAGAGTTTGTTGACTTAGGCGTAGTCTTTGACACACATTTTTCGTTTGTCAATCATATCTCTTACTGCTTCCAAAAGCCTACAGTAACCTAGCTTTCCTGCGTAGATATGCGAAAGACTTTAAGGATCCATACACCAGGAAAGCTTTATTTATCTCTTTAGTACGATCAAAACTGGAGTACGCTTCTATTATATGGAACCCCATTTACGGCTGTCATGCCGCCAGACTCGAAAGAGTGCAGAGAAAATTTGTTCGTTTTGCGTTAAGTTCCCTTAACTTTGATGACCCGATGCCATCTTATTTTTCCCGTTGTAAACTTATGGCCCTAGTATGTATGGCGACTGATAGCCGATGGGCAACCGTAGACTGAAATTCGCATTACGTATGGCAACTCGCTTGACGGCTACTGACAAGGCTACTGAGTCTGGTAGCGCAATTTTGTGTATTATGTATGGCTACCAACTCTTTTTATAGTATACACAAACGTCAAATTGAAACAACTGAGCACCATCAGATGCCATTGTTATATTTTGCGCATTTTGGAAGGAAAAGCTGAAACAATTTCTGATTATGGCAGAAAAATTGTAATTATATGCAAATTCTATTTATATTGATTTATAATTAACAGTTTGATATTTCTCCAGGCCAGTGAAAATTACGAACAGCAAGCAATTTGAGCGTTTGGTGCATTTAATGCTATCCAACCCAGGAATTGCAAGAGGAACTCGCACATTTGAACAAAGTAAAATCCAAAACGATGAACAATGGGACGCTTTTGCTGCTAAGATCAATAGTTTCGGCCCTCCAAATAGTGGCAGCGGGTAATTTTTACAATAAACATACTGCAATAAGCATTTTCATGGATGTATACATTTGTGTAGGTATGGATTAACTACAAGGCCAAAACAAAGAAGAAATTGAGTGCAAATAATCGAAACATAAGAACGACTGGTGGAGGCCCATCAGAGTAGCAAACGTTATCTGCACTCGAGCAAGTGGTGGCAGATATCTTACACACATACGTAAGCGTAAATCCACCCGGCAAAGTGTTTGGCATTGTAGAAATGGACGAAGACGAACAAAACGTAGAGCCTTCATGCAGTTCTTCGCCAAATATATCGGTGACTGTTAAAAAAAAAAAATCAAAAAAAGTACTGAAGAAATTAAAGTGGACATGCTAAAGTCGCAAACTTTAAATAACTCAGATATAGCACAAAATTTAAAAAGAATAAAAAAAATACATACAAAATGAGCAAATATGCTGAAAAAATCACGATTTAAAAAGAGAAAAATTTGAACTATTAAAAGAAAATATGAATCTAGAGGCGGAACTTAAAAGAAAGAAAATTCAACTTATAGAATACCAATTAAATAATATGTAAGAAAGTGATCTCAATTTTAATGATTCTATATTTAAGAGCATTGTTTGGGCGGATTATAAATCGCACCAAGTCACGTGAGGAACGAGAAGCACTGAACTTGAATTTATTTTATAGTATTTTAAATACTTCAGAGGCTTTTTATAGTAGGTACAAATGAAATAGTGCCTTTTTATTCATATGAATACATATTTTTTGTTTAGTTAAATGTTAACTATTTTTGTTGCTTTTTTATATCAATAAAGAGATTTTATTGTATGAAAGAATTCATCAAGTTATTTCTTATTTCTTGTGCTAGAATATTATGGCTGTTTGTTTCAAAATCAGAATTTATATCTGTCTCTATAGTCTCGGCTTCTATACTGGGCTCTTCAAAACGTGAATCAAAGCGACGTCCGATATTGTAAACGGCACAACACGAATTTATGATGGCAGTTGCCTTCTGTGGTGCATAGTGAAGTCCACGCTCAGAAGATAGGTATCTAAATTTTGATTTCAAAACGCCGAAAGTCCGTTCTATAATGTTCCTTGCCTTGCAGTGTACTTTGTTGTATTTGCTTTCTGGACTACCATTTACTGCGGCTCGAAATGGAGTCATCAGATATGTCTCCAACGGAAACCCAGCATCACCTACAGCAACAAATACATTTGTTAATACTTTTAGAAGTAGGCAGATTGTGGAACCAGTTTTCGGATCGCTATCGCAACTTGTCGAGATTCATCACACGTCAGCAACTTGCTATATCGATCCGAAAATTGTTGCTAACTGGATACAGAATCTTCCTACAGATTGTGCTTCAAAATATCACCTAAAAGCCATGTATTTTCTCCTGTGTTATTCGACATAATTTCCTTGAGCGTACTATTATTCCATATGAAGGAATCATGCGTGGCTCCTGGATATCTGGCATCGACATACGTTATGTTCATATTGAAATCGCAAACCTAGGTAATAAGGAATTTGTGTGTATCCAAAATAAACATACGAAAACTAACTTACCATTAACGCGTTTATACTGAAAAATCCTTTTCTGTTTATGAATAGGTGTTGCAGTTCCTTTTCAGGTGCTGAAATGTGCACATGAGTGCCATCCACACAACCCTACACACACACCTGGAAATCCACTCTTATTATAAAAATTTATTTTGCTTTTATTCTGCTCTTCTTCACTAATATCAAATTTGATGTGCTTGGGACAAATCTTCCGCTCGATTAAAGAGGTAGCTTCAGTTAGTATTACCGACATAGTGGGTTGGGAGATGCCAATATTGAAATCATTCCCTTGGCATTTTTGATAACTCCCTTCCGCAAAGAAACGGAGCGCTGCGCAGGGTTTCAGGATTGGAGGTACCGCAGTTGACCGAAAGTTGCTTTTGAAATGAGGGGATAGTTCCTCCAACAAATAAACAAATGCTTCTTTGATATCCGAAAATTGCTTACGAACCTGGAGGTATAGATATGTTAAAGGAATATGATTACGATTTTTTTAACTTACTTAACAACTGGTAGATCCAAAGGATTGGATCGATCCGTTATGTAACGCCGTATTAGAGCAACGTTTGCACACTCGTCCCGAGTTGCGAAAAATACCTCATAGCTGCTGATCATTCTGCTTTCTTTATTTTTATAAACAAATGTTTCCCGCTTATGACGATTTTTTTATTTGTTTACATAAATTGTCAAACACATTGGAGCAAAGTTGCCAATTACTTCGAAATGTACATGTCAAAAGAGCAAACTCAGAGATGTTTTCTTCGTTTTTCTGTATACTGAGATCAATCGCTATACGTAACTGGTCGTCTCCATAGGATAAAGTTTATTTGCAAGGAACAAAAATAAAACTTGCGCCAGCTGCGATTCGAACCGGGGGTTGACTAAGGCTGTGTGCGAGTACGTCTAAATTGCTACCTAAATAGAGAAAAATCCTAAATCACTGGAAAGTGTCGGCAACGCAGTGCATAGGAACAATTTGGATTTTCTGCGAGCATAATTTTCAACCTAAATTGAACAGTCAAATATATTTGAGCGAGCGATTAAATGAACAACGATTTTTTGATGTTTTAAATAATTTTTATAATTGCTATGGCACAAAAAAGAAAATATTCAGAAAGATGTAAGTATATTATTTTATTTGATTTTTGCATTCAGATAAGTATATATCTAATTCGATGGATATATATTATATCGCAGGGTCAGAAGAACAAACGGATTATTTTATAGATGCCAGGATGGAGCATTCTCTTTTTCTGTTGCAAATTTATTATATTGTTAAATAGTCCCAAAGCTACCACAAAATTATTTATTTTATAGATATATTTATTAAAAGCAAACAAATTCAAATTTCAAAACAAATAATTTAGGTTGTCAAACGAACTCGCACAGTTTTAGCAGCTGTTTTCCTAAATTGTAGCAGTGCTGGAAATTTCCAGTGGAATATTAGTTTAGGTACTAAAATTTAGGTCAACTCGCACACAGCCGAGGTGCCTACATATCAGCAAGTCGCTAATTGTACCCGTTCACCGCCACTGCATGACATTGTAACCAGTTTTAGATCAAAACTCACACCTAATGCATTACATTCGGACCACTTTTAGTACAATCCACCTGTTTTACATTACATTGCTTTATATTTTTGACTATCTTTGGTCTAGATACAAAGTTACTATACCTACGACTATATTTTTCGAGCAATTGGACCAATCTTTCCTTCAGGGGTACTTTCAACTAAAATGCTGATATACACACATAAGTACATATGTATGTATGTGCATAAATATGTACGTCGCTACCATGTCAAACAATCGAATGTGAAAATCTGCACTTTTCAGGAGAGAAAAGAAACTGTTGTAAAAAATATTGTTGTCATTAGACAAAAGTATGGGATTCGACATTTTGTTAAAGCCAATATCCTCTGCTTCTAAGAAGACTAGATATTTGACGATTTGCCAACTTGCGTATCATTCTAAACGCATGCGCAAGGTATCGTAAATCAAAAAGCAGTTTTGCACATTCGATAGTTAGGCATGGTAGCGAAGATATACTTATATCTTCAAGAAAATTTACAGCAACCGCAAAGTTATTTTCTAGCATCAGAAATAATGAAAATATATTTCTCGTGATATTTCTTGAGAACTACAATGATATATTTTTTTTTGTTAATCAACGAAACAAATTTTTTGTTATTACTTTTTTTTTATAACAACCAAACGACTTTTTTCTGATATTTTTTCTTATAAATAACGAAACGAACTTTTTTATTTGCATATCTGAGCCGTTCAATTAATGTAGCCTAAGCCGGTAAAAGGGCCTATTCCCTTTAAATCGACATTTCATGGGATCCCAAACAATATTTTAACGTTTAACTATCCATAGATATAGTTCAAGATGCCCTTTTAATAGAAACTTAATAAAAATATAAACATTTTCAGGAGAAACTGGTTATTTTTTGATTCATTCAAAATCAAACCTTTTAAATTCTCTTTGATTGAACGGTACATATATATGTATTCCATATAAAAAATTGGCGTACATAGTTTGTACGAGAAAAAATGCCTTAGCTTATTATACTAAAATTTAATGCCCAACAAAACTGCATACCATTTTTTGGAAATTTGGATTTATATGGTGTTCGTTAAGTAATCAGCTTTGCTTTAATACAAAAATAATATATGTAAGTTAAGGACTGAAGGTCCTGAATAACTAAAAAAATTAAAGGGCCAACTTGCCCTGGAATTAAAAGAGGTAATTTAAACGTTATAATAAAAGTACTTTATTGATATAAATAAATAAGCCTAATGGACTANGATTCATTCAAAATCAAACCTTTTAAATTCTCTTTGATTGAACGGTACATATATATGTATTCCATATAAAAAATTGGCGTACATAGTTTGTACGAGAAAAAATGCCTTAGCTTATTATACTAAAATTTAATGCCCAACAAAACTGCATACCATTTTTTGGAAATTTGGATTTATATGGTGTTCGTTAAGTAATCAGCTTTGCTTTAATACAAAAATAATATATGTAAGTTAAGGACTGAAGGTCCTGAATAACTAAAAAAATTAAAGGGCCAACTTGCCCTGGAATTAAAAGAGGTAATTTAAACGTTATAATAAAAGTACTTTATTGATATAAATAAATAAGCCTAATGGACTATAGTAACACCCCGATGCAACTGCCGCTGCTCCGAGTTCTGCCGCCCTTTATAGCCTGTTCCGCTGCCGTTGTTCTATAGCCAGACATACGCGACGTCAGTGAGCCGGCTTGGCCTTGAATTCCCACAGGTAACTTGAATTATGTAACACACTGATTTCACAACCGTGTGAAATGAAATTAAGCTGACACCGCTGCAATGCCTAATGCGTTGGCTGCGTTATACTAATGGTTGCGTAAGCATTAGCCAGAGGTACTAACTGTGGCCGAAGGTTGCCATAGGTGTCTGATAGCGTTGCACAATATTGCTATTGCATGATATGATGAAATGCACTTGGCCTTGACAAAGGTGTAGGATGTCAATTATGTTGTGAACCATAATTATGCTGACATGGCGCACGTGTATTGCTGGACTGTGGGAATACAACATGTTGGGTGACGGCGGATGTGTTAACTTGTATATAATTCAGATGAACGTAGTTTTTCGTACATAAGGGTAAGGTTGCAAGCAAAAACTTTCTCTGAGCCATAATTCTTTAGTTTCTGTAATTAAATAGGCAAAACTTCTTAACCATTGTAGTGATATCTATAATATAGGATTTAATGAAACACACCAGTTAATACATAATAAGAAGTTCGAATTGGTGTTTAGAACTTTATAAGAAACATATTAAATGAAGACACATAGTTACTTTACAACAACTTTTTTCACACTTTACTTTTCCCAGTAACTTTTGAAATTTTTGATTTGCTACGAATAATTTTATTTCGTATAGCAGCATTGCTTAAGCTGTTGTTTTTGACAACTTATTTGTTGGTTAATGACTGCAAATAGTTTTATACCAAATTAGAAACCAGAAATAATACATTAACGGCCTTATTCATAAAAATTTAGATACATATGTACATAGATTTAAAAAGCTGTTTAAATACAAAAATTGTATACACATGTCACTTTACACAACTGTTTAAACCTTTGTTACTTTCTATAAATAAGACCGTAAACATTTCCTTACAACGTCAATTTCCATATTGTAACTTTATTCTTTCAATTTCGGTGACCACAGCAGCAAACGATATCAACTAGTACGCTAACAACCAGAAATGAAATTTAATACGCAAGTACTTACAGTACTACAAGTACACAGAGAGTAGATTTGCTACTCTCTTTTGGCAGCAGCAAATATCTCTCGTACGCGATGAGAGAAAGTAGAGTACCTACTTTGGTGGAGTAATAGCAAGTACGTCAAGTATTTACTCTCTCAACGCCAAGTAGTGTATGTATAAGGAAAAAGAGCAACAATGTGTTGGGAGTAGAGTACAATGCAAAGAGTACTTATTGAACGAAATGCGGCAAACACACTTGCGATGGACTTTAGTTCGAATCCTACTGAAAGAAGTCTGATGAGCAAATGTGGTGATTTCCGAAATAGCTATCACTTCTACCATTTTTTCAAATTATTGTTGCCTTTACACAATAAATTTTCATTAAAAAACGGCCTCGAGCTCAATAAAAATTGTTGAATATAATTGTTATAAGGCCATAAAATAACAAAAAACAAATAACTTAATGACGAGCACACCTAAAAAGTTAAACATTATTTTAATAGAAATATTAACAAAAAACCAACAACCACATGATCAAGTGAATTGCAGCGGAATAGCTGCGCTTGATTGTGTTGGCATAACAAAAATGAAAATAGTGGAAAAAAGCAAACGATAATTTACAAGGCGTACTTAGCACGGTGCATAGGCAACTGGCTGAGTCAGTGGGATCGTCGGTTCGAATCCTACTGAAAGAAGTCTGATGAGGAAATGTGGTGATTTCCGAAATAGCTATCACTTCTACCATTTTTTCAAATTATTGTTGCTTTTCCACAATAAGTTTTTCATTAAAAACGGCCTCGAGCTCAATAAAAATTGTTGAATATAATTGTTATAAGGCCAAAAAATAACAAAAACAAATAACTTAAGGACGAGCACACCTAAAAGTTAAACATTCTAAAAATAGAATTATTAGCAAAAACCAACAAAACCAACAACCACATGATCAAGTGAATTGCAGGCGGAATAGCTGCGCTTGATTGAAGTTGGCTAAACATGTTAAATAGTGGAAATAAGCAACAAGAATTAACAAGGCGAACTTAGCACAGTGCGTAGGCAACTGCCTGAGTCAGTGGGATCGTCGGTTCGAATCCTACTGAAAGAAGTCTGATGAGGAAATGTGGTGATTTCCGAAATAGCTATCACTTCTACCATTTTTTCAAATTATTGTTGCTTTTCCACAATAAGTTTTTCATTAAAAACGGCCTCGAGCTCAATAAAAATTGTTGAATATAATTGTTATAAGGCCATAAAATAACAAAAACAAATAACTTAAGGACGAGCACACCTAAAAGTTAAACATTCTAAAAGTAGAATTATTAACAAAAACCAACAACCACATGATCAAGTGTAAATCGTAGCGGAATAGCTGCGCTT